TTTGTGTGAGAACTAAGAATTTAAGACCTAACATAGACTTGTTTCGGCTTGTCTTGAGGGGCATGGCACAAAGGAGGCTTGTAGAATCAGGAATGTAATATGTTTTACATTACATTAGCTACTTGAAGTAATGAAATTGAGAAAAAAAAGAGATTGTGGGTATTATATGCTTGAAAATGTTTTATATGTTTGGTTTTATTTTAAATTCTCATTTGAATATATGCTTTACATGTTATGTTTATGTATTTTAAGTTTGGATAATAGGTTTTTTAAAACATTTATTTTAAAATCTAAGTTTACATTTTTGTTAATATTATGTTTAATATTTTTTGCTTTTTTTGACATTTTTAGCTTTTTTTTTTTTAATTTTTTGCGCCTTGCACTTTTAAAACACTGGAACCGCCCGGGTCGGACAATTTTTGACCAAGTCAACGGTATTTAACTGAATGTCGGGTTTCAATAAAACTGGACCCAGAATCATGGTTGGGTGACAGTTCAAATGGTTCAACCGGTTGGGTCGACGACTGGTTGAGAACACTGATCTGAACTAGCCACTTCCTTCCAGTTATTCATAATATCACTCTAATCAAAATGGTTTCAATAATTCCCTTTTTTCTTCTTTCCTTGTTTGAGAAAATTCTAGAATTCTTTTTATGGTCTAGCTCACCGCAGCTCTTACACATCTCCGCAACACTCTTCCTCTTTTCTTAGGCCACCTAAAGAAAGAAGTGGTAAACAGGCTTTGAACATTAGGTTGGGGAGTTCACCTACATTAGGTAAATCTCTGTTAGAGTGAGCCGAATAGGGGTAGTTTAGTAATCTCATGTCAGTTAAGTACTTTGCTTATGTGGCTGTTTTATTAGAGCACTCTGCCCCACACTTAAGTGTGGGCAGTTTAGTCTTTGTAAGTGTAATTAGAACCTAATAAACATAAGGGGGTCGACTGAATGGGCGACTAATCAGTTTCGACTAAACCCTCCTGTTCTCTCTTTCTCTTGTCTT